CCCACCCACCCAATCGCGTCGCCTCCACCCTGCAGAACGGAAGCGGCGTTCTTGTCGCGGGAGGCACCCCGGCCGACCCCGGGGACGGCTGGGCCGAGCTTCGGAGGGTGTACGAGGACAGGGCCTCGACCACAGCGGTGGAGTTCGATCCCTTGGAGGAGCTGCTGTGGGCCGGCCACAGCGACGGACGCCTGACTTCCTACGCGCAGCCGGACATGACCAAGCACTCGTCGGTGGCGGCGCACCGGCACGGACCTGTCGGCCGGTGAGAAAGAGGGGGGGGGGAGGGGGGGCGCGAGTTGGCAAGGGGGGCGAGGGAGTGACAAGGGGGCAGGTGTGGAGGAAGAGCAAAAGAGACAATCCGGCGTGTGAGCCAAGTGTGGAGGGAGAGCAAAAGAGAAAATCCGGCGTGTAGGCAGACGATGGATGAAATGATGAATAAGATCGTTTGCGCGTGAGAGCGGCCGCCGTACATCCTACGTACACATGGTACCTACCCCAAGTATTTATGTTTTGTGTTTTGTCTATATTTATATTTGTGTTTGCATCTACTCGTTCCTTGCGCATCGTGTTCACTTTTTTTTTTTTGTTAAAGAGGACAAGCCACAGGACCGGACGGGGGTATCCTCGCCCTCACCGCCTTCCAGCAAGGCGTACTCTCGGTGTCGAACTCCGCCGTTCGCCTGCACTCCAGAGGCTGCCTGCTCCGTGCGACGTTTTCCGGGCTGGTGAGCGAGGGCTTAGATAGCTGTGTTGTTGTTGTTGTCGTTGTTGTTGTTGCTGCTGCTGCTGCTGTTGTATTTGTTGTTGTTGTTGTTGCTGCTGCTACTGCTGTTGCTTTGTTGCTGTTGTTGTTGCTGCTGCTGCTGCTGCTGCTGCTGCTGCTGCTCTCTGCTCCCCTTGCCACGACTGCCCTCTATCCCCCCTCCCCCAATTCGATGCTGCTGCTGCTGCTTCCTGCTCCCCTTGCTACGACTGCCCTCTATCCCCGCTCCCCCAATTCGATGCCGCCCGATACGACCACAGACCAGACGTTGGTTGTACAAGACGTTATTTTGTTCAACAACACGGGGATAGGAACGGCGGTGTTCCTTCTTGAATCGGACAAGTGGTCAAGCCGAGGCACACAAACAAGTTTTGGCGCATGCTTGGGTTTTTCGTCGCTTGGCAACGACGTTGTAAAACAAGCCCCCCCCTCGGTGTTTCCGCCCCCCCGGTGTTTGCCATCTGGGTTGGGTTTTCGTCGCTTGGCAACGACGTTGTAAAACAAGCCGCCCCCCCCGGTGTTTGCCATCGGGGTTGGGTTTTCGTCGCTTGGCAACGACGTTGTAAAACAAGCCAATTCACTTCGTGAACTCGGCAACCAGGTTACCGTTTTTTTTTTTTTCCTCCGTTTTTTTTTTTGGCGGTAACCATAATGGTCGTCGAGTAGATCACGTTGTGCGGGGTCGAGAACCCTCACTCTGCACAAGGGGGATGATCGTACCACGTTGTGTTAAAATGGTCACGCACCCTCGAGGCAGGTACGCAGTGCTTACACCTGTCTCAGGAAGTGAAAGCACCAGAAGATATATTAAGTCATACGCAGCTGTCATCCGTACGCATGGAAGTAAGCACAAGATGCCGAACACACTTAGCAGGATGCAGCGCACCCTTCATGCGACTCGCCGAATACCTCACGGCGCTTCGCGCTTGGTGATGTGAGAGCCTGGTCCGGTGAGAACCCGGCGTGCTCCGTCCCGGCTTTGTAGGGATGCGAGGTCAATGGTCCAACGACTACGGCATGCACGACTATGAGTAAACCCCCCCCCCTCCCCCCCGACTCCCAAGGTGGAGAAACCCGGCGTGCGAGGCACACCACCCACCCTGCACTACCCCGAGAACCTCACCTGCTGCGCGCTCAACTCCCCCTCCACGATCATGGGCATGGGCGCCGACTCGACCCACGTCACCGTCGGCTCCTTCGGAGGGGGCGCCGCGGGAGGGATCCCGGGGGGGTCCCCCCCCTCCCTCTTTCAGTTGGACCCGGTGCCGGGCCTGCGGCTGGTGAAGGCGGTGGGGCTGCCGGAGGAGGCGGGGGTTACGGCGATTGCTCGCGGGTGAGATTCACTGTTCATGTATAGGCGGGAGGGGAGTGGGGGACGGGGTACCGTTAGCTCCCGCACACAGAAGAACCGCTGCTTATTTCGGCCGAGGCTCGTTACGTTTTTTATATATGGAGGTATCTATCCCAACAGCGACGATATCGGTTTTTGGGCAGGCCTCTTGACTGAGTATGCGTTCTTGAAGTTCCTATCTTTTTAGCCTGCATTTCTTAGCTCCCAATTTTCGGAAGTGCGGGCGCTGGCTGAACCTCTCCTGATTACGGGTGCTGCTCTGCCCGAAACTTTTTTTTTAATTCATCACGGAGCGCCCAAGCGTTTTTGAGCGGTCGCTGGTTCGTGAGGCAAAACGTGTTTTGTGTTGTGCGTGTGCACCACTTTTTTTCTTCTGCCTGTGTGTCCTTCCCCTTGGCTGATACGTCAGATATATACGCCGAAAGACGTGTAGACGGGCGCCCGAACAGATGGGACGAACACGCACAAACGCACGTCTTTTTGTATGGTCAACCGGTTGATGCGGTCGATGCTGATACCTGTAACATACGCGCACTGCTCTTTCGATTTTTTTGCTATTTCGTGCAGCGCCATGCTGACGGTAGGCGGCAACGACGGACGCATCCGGCTGCTGGACCCACGCCTCCGCAGCACTAGCGTCGAGCACGTCCTCGAAGCGCACACCGGCCCGGTGCAGGCCGTGGCCGTGACGCCCACCGACGGCGTCAAGGTGATTGATGGCGTCATTGTACCGTATATGACAGAAGACAACACACCCCCTCGACCGATTTTTGAAGCTCGATTTCTCAACTGCAGGAACAGTCACAGCGCCGAAAACGGCGGCGTTGAAACCGTCTCGTCGAGAGCTTTTCGAACATGTATCGTTTCGTCTATGCATCCTCTTCGTCGTGGAGGAATCGAGCTTTGAAAAT